AGATGTCTGTTAGGAACTTGCCTCTGATCAATGCTCCCTTCCTTCCCACAGTCAGCTTTATAATGTACAGCCTTATCTTCTGTTCAAACGACTGCTGCTTAGATGTTCCAATGAACCAGCCCATTAAATATTACTCAAAGAGGAAACTCAGCCAAAGAGTACTTACTGATGCCTGCAACACAAGAGTGACTCTCATCTTTGAAAAACAGGGCAATCAAAGGGAAAAGTAAAGAAACTTACATAAAATTAAAGAGGTGGGTCCTACTTCATATTTGGTCCCGTATTTTCCCATCAGGGCAGCAGCTGCTTTCTGTGCAACATGCATCTGTGAGTTCAAAACAGGAGCAGCATTGTCATCAATGCCAGGACATTTGGCAACTATTCTGGGTAGACCAAAATTTTTGTCACTTGCAGCTTTATGTTTATGTGTGATCAGCTTTGAGCTCTGATATTATTCACTCAGGACTTTAGAGAAACCTATTACAAATGTTTGAAAGAATCATTCTTGATCTTCTTAAGGCAAATTATGTTAACACTTTAAAAATTACTCTGCTAATAGGCAGAGAAGATGCTTGCTTTGTTGTTTAGCTAAAGGGCTGTATTTTTGAGAATTAGAATCTATGCTGTATAGCATGCTGGTACTGACTACTGCAGTGATTGAGCCCTTACACTTGTTACATTGCCACAGACTCTGCATCCCACCACCTTTAGAAACTGAACCACAGACATACTAAATGGCTTTTCCCTCATGTGCTTGACTACTGCTCCAGCTACTGGAATGTTCATAAATGCATTTCAATTTTTCTGCTTTAAGGTAAAGGTTAAGATTCATTCTGAGGGGAATAAACCTGGCTGATACTGCACAGAGCATCAGTAACTCTGGGAGCAAAGCCCCTGAATAAGCCCAGCTCCTCTGGAGGAAAGGCAGGAGGACAAATGGAGTTGTGCCACACGTGCTGCCAGCACTTGTTCCCTGCAAGCACAGAAGATGAATGCTTTGCCCTACCAGTTCTTCACTGTTACTTGGAGGTGCAGTTGTGGAGCCATAGGGAGTGAGGATGAACTGCCCGTAGGAGTGAATGGTTAAATAGCACACAATGTCACTCTTCCTCCTCCTGAGAAACTGAGCCACAGCTCTGGTCTCAGGCTCTGATTCTGGTCCTGATCCACAGAAGATTTCACTGCTGCAGTTGTAAGAAACACCAACACCTGGAGAGGAATACCAAAAGGGAATCAAAGGGGGAACACATAAGCAGCAGTTCAGAGGGAACAGGGAGATTTGCCTCAGAGTGCTAAGGCGTGTGTTTATGTGGGCAGGGAGACCAGACAGCTCAGTGGGACTTTAACATTTTACTCCGTTGGTAGCAACTAAAATTCAGTACAAGACTGAAATATTTAACACACATTTACAGGTTGGTTGCACTGAAAACACTCGACACCACCGCAGTGTGCCACCTGCCAGGGAAGCTTTGGAGGCTCCTTGAAATTCATGGCAAACACAAATGCTGGCTGTTAAGTGACTAACTCCTAGCATTGCTGCCTGGAGGTGATGCTTGCTCCTGCAGTGAATTAAAGGTATACTTATATAAGCAGCAGTTTTTGCTCATGAAACTAAACACCAGTTGAAAGTCAATGACTTAATATTTCTACAAGCCAGGTTTTTATTTTTACATATGTCTTGGTGACAAGATGAGTATTCCTTTCTTACAGAGATTATTCTTATTTCAGAGGCTAGATATTACTCTTGCTTTACACTTGTGCTGCTGATCTGAAAGAACTGGAACTTACTGCCCCAGGAGGAGTTGAAGTTTCTGTTCAGGTCTGTCCCGTAGCAGGTGCCATTCTGGTATGGAGAACGGTTTTTCCTCCACAGACGATCCTGAGCAAAAGTAACTTCAGTTACAGCATAAGAACTCAATGATCCACAGGGCCTCGTGGTAATATGGTGTAAAGACTCCTTTATTTTAGACCTCTGCATTCTGAGCAGCTGTTTGTATTGCAAGAGAGCAGGGGTGATAAAGCCCAGTGACAGAACAGTGTATGTACTGCAGCCAGACTGCCATCTTCCACACGCCTGCATGCACCCCAAAATGTGCCTCCTGAGCTTTGAAAACAGAGTATTCTTCTTCTATAGTATCCAGCTGTTTTCAAGCAGTGTTGCACCCCTAAGAAAGACTGTGTGTTGTGAGGGATACCTCTGTGTCCAAGAGATGATAGCTGAAATTTTATGTTTCAGATTAAAATTAGCTTTTTTTTTTTTTTTGTCAGCTACTCTTCTGCTGCTCCTTGGCTCCCTCCTATGTTCCCTGCTGTGTTCACCTGGTTCTCTGCAGACCTCACTGCACTGCCTCTGTGAGCTGCCCAGCCAAATTACCTGTGGGTCCAAGTGCAATGTGTGGCATGGCCCAGAGCTGCCAGGGAGCAAGCTGCAGGCAGCAGGGCTGGCTGGGCCTGCTGGGCCATGCTCAGGGCCTGCATTCAAACCTGTTTTCACTGGGATCCAGAGCCTGGAAGTGTGATGAGAGTTGCTGAAGACCAACATTTTGCCTTATCTTCCATATCAGAAAAGGAAGTTTATTTGGGAAGGCACACCTATTTCAAAATCAAACAGTCCAGTATTTGACCAGTTCTCCTCCTGTCCCATGCTGCAAAGGTGCTTAGACCCATCTGCTAACTGAGATCTCTTGTGAAGAATGACTCCTTCAGGCATGCTCAGCTCCATCAACTGAGCCTTGAGCTATTAGCAGGGAAGTCAGTCCATCTCCAGAAACCTAAAAGCAATTCATCCTGTGGTTTTGTCCTTCTCTTTTCCCAAAGCTAGGAATTTTCCATTTGCTAGGAGTTTTTAGCCCTGTAATCTCCAGCGCCTACTGATTTACCAGAAGAAACAAAACCTCTCTGCCATGACAGAATTTGTGTGAGTAATGATTCTGTCACTGTTTAAATATAATTGCTATGATTGTATTTGAAATGAACCAAGCATGCTGCACACATCTAACTCTCAGTCTAGTTCCTGGATTTTCAGTACTCACTTTTTGCCAGGAATAGATGTAGCCATCAATATTGAGAACTGGCAAGACGTAGAGGTCAAAATTCTGCAGAAATCTGCTTATCTTGGGGTCAGATTTGTAATTTTGAAGAATCTGAAAAGAAAAAGATACAGAAGACTGAACAGAGAATCTAGTGGTAGTCACTGGAAGGAGCTGGTTAAGAACTCCTGTCAGGGAATCACTCACTCCTGGATATCACCACAGTATCCAAGATCTACTTGCAGTCTGTTCCTACTGCAGCCAGGCCATATGCAGGTATGAAAGCTGCATGATAGGGTACCCGTGCTCCAGGTACTTGCAGTACACATGGAATGTTGCTATAGCATATTTTAGAGTTGCTTTATCCTAGGGGAACTGTGGCTTTGTAATGCAGAGAGGCAGCTGTGGGAAATGGAGAGATTGCTGTAAAATTCAGGGGCTTTGGAACCAGCTTAGGTGTAGCAAACAGTGTGCTGACAAATATTGTCCCATATCTCATCTCAAACTGTGATTTGGACTCAGGTCTCCACAGGTATCTGTACTACTTACTAATTTTGAAACTCATATTTTAATGGAAAAAGCAACATTCTTGGTACCATGATGGAGAAGGGTATGGAGGTATCCAAAGAGATAGAGTGTTTTTCATTACTTAAGTGGAAAAATGAGGACTCACTTCTTTCACAAACCACTGGCAGAAGGCTGGAGAGATCCATTCTCTGGCATGAATCCCACAGTCCATCCACATGATCTTTTTGGCTTTGTCTGATGGCTGGCTGATCTGAGATAGTGTGAAAATGATCATTTCAGAAACTGTTACTTTACAATAAAAGAACCTATTGTGATACAAAAAGAAAAGGCTGTGCCCTGAGATGACACTGAGCCATCTGAGAGTATTATTATTATTATTATTATTATTATTATGGGCATAGTTATGACAAGTTCTCCTTCCTCATAACCCCATCTCTGTAGTATTGCAGGGCAACAGTTTTAAAGTGTCTGTTGAGCAGGAGTGTCAACAAAACACTTTCTTTTTTATTTGTATTAGTCATTCACAGGACCAGTTGTTCTTACTGTGATATTATTGGTTTTTAGAAGGGGAAGGCAGGGAATCTAATTTTACTCAGTGATAGGGACAAGTTAGACAATAACTAAACTGATTATTAAGACTGTGTTTTTACTAGAGCATCTGATAAAGAATGTCATGGAATACTCCTAGCTGAAAGGCTGTGTGCTGTAAAGAGTAATAAAAGCAACAAAACAAAATTCTTTATCCTCACACAGAGATGTTGCCAAGCTATTCTCAGCTTGATTTGTATTTCTAAACAAGACTTCAGTTAAATTTGTTGTTTTCACTGCATAGTAGCAATAGTAATGTTATGGTGACAGTGCATATGAAAGCTGGCAGATCTTACTGTACTGCAGAGGAGTAGAATGATCTCCTGTTATTTCAGTGAATTGGGTTAAGCACCATCTTAGGAAAGATCTGAGTCCTGTGTACTTTTATTGGTTCCCAGAAGGTTCCTCCCTTACCTGCAGATAATTCATCGTGCGGTTCTCGACTGTCGCCCCCAGGGAGTGCTGAGTCACCACCTCACTGTTGCTCTTCTGGATCTCACTCATCCATTGATAAATCTAGAACAGTCACAGAGAATTCTTGGCCCAAAGTGGGAGTTTCCTTCTCTTTCCCACACCCATTTCTGGATTAAAGGATTTTCTTTTGCTTAGATAAGCCTCGTTTTTCTCAGAGCTTACTTGAATCTGTGATATCACTCAACACTCCAGGAAGCCCCTTCACTTGGCTCTGAGCAAAGGCATGGTCATATCTCACTGGGTGTTAAAAGGTAACATCACAGCAATAAGTACAGCACTGATACTCTGCTTTGGATCTCATTCAACAAGCCCATCCTATTGGGCATCTTTCTGTTGACTTCACCAGACATGGAGCCATCCCATCAGATCTTCCAAAGAGTATTACACTCTCTTCCCTCCCAGTGCCTGATTTTCCTGATATTCCATGGCTAAGAGGAAGAATACCACTATGCTCTGCCTTGGCTCAGGCTTACCCACTGCCTGTGAAACACAATACTAAGATGTCTTCACTACCCACCTTCATGACATTATTCTCTCCTGAAGTGTCAAAACCCTGTCCTTAAATTATCTCTTTCCACAGCTCTCCCACTGTTCACCTCTTCTTCCTCACTGGGGTTTCAGAGGCCACAATAGCCTTTGCACTTCATGCTTGGCTCAGCATCAAACATACTAGGGCTTACATGAATAAGTACTAGAGATAATGATGAAGCACTACAGGGTAGAAAGGTAGCAAACCAAGCAACTGAACCCCAGAATATTATGTGCAAAATGATATGACTGCTTCATGCAAGGCATTTAGGGTTTGATCAGGGAGAAACTGAGGATTTAATCAAAATCAGTGGCAAATTCAGGCTCAATTCAGCCAGGTCGAGATTCTAATCAAAGAATAAAGACTGATTCTGTAAAGAAAAAAAGCCAGAAAGTGCTCCACTGACTTCAGCTGAGCTTTCTGCAACCACAAAGTTGCTTGCTGTGCATTTACAAAATAGCAGCAACAAAGAAAGTGAGCAGGTCTGGGTTCCTCTTTACCTCTTCCATTGGATGATATTCAGTGTAGACATAATTTTCCAGGACCTGCCTGTGGCTGCTCCTCTTCCTTGGCATGCTCTGATCCACCAGTTCCTGCACGTCAGGTATTAGGACTCTGAGGGGAGGGGAAAGGGGAGATGATAGAAAAGAAAATAGTCCCTAACAATTACTATAGAACTATCATGGTGGGTACATAGATTACATCAACAAAGGAAAAGATTTAGCCTTTTCTGTTGTGGACTGCCAGGCAAAGTCAACACCATTAGCATAATGGTTACTTTCATGTAAGAGAAACTTCAAAGTAGAGAGATTTTCACTGAGCTTTAACAGTAAAATAATGATTTTACTTTTTTTTTTTTTAAGACTGACAATTTTCTGAAAAAAAAGTTGGATATATTTCTTTTCTTCACTACTTCTGGGTAAAACTCTAAAATATCAGCTTTTGGAAAAGGGAGGGAAAAGTGCAAATTTTAACTTTAGTGTTTCATTGTATTTTATGGAGACATTTTCAATCTGCAAAGACTTCACAGAAGCATTCCCTGCAATCTGCAAAAATTAGAACAAACCCCCTCTTTCCTTCAAAAAACTCTGCTTGCTTTTTAGCTACAAAGTAATTCAGAAATGAATATAGCACAGGAAGGATTCCAGGATCAAGGGAGTCAATAAAACCTTTTGTTAGGCCTTTGGAGCATACGCTGTGCTTCCTCTCTGTGTAAACCCTTTGCTGAGACAATTGCAAAGCTCAGCAAACACTGTTGATTTCAAACACTGCAACTGCTACTGGGCTGTGCTGCACTGATCCATCTCTCTGGAAACTGCAGGTAAGAAACTTCTCAGAGTAGTTAGGGCTGACTTTCACCCTGAGCTTTGATGTTTATTCACGTCTGAACTTCAAACTGAAATTCAGGCGGCGCAAATTCCCGTGAACTGAAACCACACACAGCAAATGCCTTATCAGAGCTCTGGAGAATTGAAATCCCAGAGTCTGACACACTCAGAATACTGATGTCCTGATTAGAATTTGTCATTTTTGTCTCTATCATTATATACCTGACTGTCATGTTACCTTCTTTGCATGTCGGTTGCCTTCTAAAAGGTGGTTCCTGCTCTGAATATGTTGTAGGAACTTTAACTCTAACATTGCCATGCTCTTCTCAACCCCTTTGTCATACAGAGCTAAAATTTCAGCTTGACTGTTAAATTACCACATCTTCCTTTAGGACCCCACACAAGGTGGACACAGTTCTGGCCCCAGTCCAGGGGAAAAAAAAAAATCAAGCTTCTAACTTCAGTTTAGTCTTTAAATTTTAAATTTCCACTAGAGTTAGTTAAAATCATTAGAAAATTAAGAACTTTGATATAGATAAGAGGTTAAATAACTTCTGGAACATTGACTAAATCCTGAACACCTAGACCTGATGCTAGATCATTTGTACTGGCTCCCACCTCATGTCTCTCCATCTCTGGTTGTCAGGGCATCACACTTACTAAAAAGAATTTGTCAGGCAAGATGCAGGATGTCAAGATCAGCTTTAACTCTGAACAGCTTTGAAGTGGCACCAATCCTTTAACTTATCTTCAGTTGGTAGATGCCAGTGTCTGACCACAGGCCATTTGTCACCAGCCCTGAATTCATATAAGCAGGATTGTTTATATGAAATATAGCTGGCAGCTACTGGTTACCTAAAAAAGTCACTTCCAAGTGGGAATGGGGCTGTGTGAGGAGGAGATCTTACTTTATCCCATTTGGCTTTCTAAACATTCTTTGTATCTGGCTTAGGTCTCCTGGATGGCAGTGGAAGTGTGGCTGTCAGTGAAGCTGTGTGGCTGTAGGTGTGATAATGCACCGTGGGCCATGAGCAGCTCCTGGCTCCCAGCTGGGTGCACAGTGGGGACCTGCCACTGGAACCTTTGTGCCAGGCTGGGATGTCTGTGTGGTGCTAGGGATTTCTCACCAGCCCCAGGTTGGGGTGGGATGGAGAGGGAGGAGGTAGGGGTAGGAAACTGCAACTTTGAAGAAACTGGCTGAGTACTGAATGTGAAAGGGCTCTTCTCCAAACCAGAGATGCAACAAAAGACAGGGAAGGAAAAAGGAGAGCTACAGAGACTGCTTCTCTGCAGTGACACTGATTAAATCTTTGGGTTTTCCAAAACAGGGAGAACCCAGTGTTCAATAGTCCATGCTCTCCAAGAGCAAAGCATGCTCCTGGAAGTAGTGGTTGTACCAAGTTTGTCTTCCTGCCTTCAGACTGAAAAGCTGAGTCATACACCTCAGCTCTGTCCTCTGCCACTGAGGGCAACAGCAGGAAACAAGACAGATTGGGCTGTCTCAGGTCCCAGCTTCAAATTCACAGTCCAGGCTAGCTGGAAGGTGAATAAACAGGGCACAGGGCAGTGTGCTGTTAAAACTCGAAGGGCATCTGTGCACTGGGCAGGTCAAGGCAAGTTGTAGGCACTTGGAACAAAGGTTGGGTCCTATCACCAGTACTTGCTGACTGTTCATTGGAAAGGGCTGGGTCCTTCAGTGACAGCAGAGAAGACTGTTAGAGCAAGGCTTTCCCATCAGGAAATGAGAGGTTTTACTTGTAAGAGATCATGTGCTGATCTAAGCTGTCTTTCACCTCCTGCACCAGCGGGGCTGGGACCCTTATGTGCAGGTCTTCTCCAGCCCTGATCTCTTCAGGCAGTGGGGGCTTCCACAAATCCAGCTGTGAAGAGAAGAAAGCAATGCACAAATCAAGCAATGTTTCCAGAATGAGAAAACACATTTGAGATAGAGGAGCTGCATATCAATAAATGGAAGGAATTTTCCTTCAAATTCTCTCCTTAACTATTCTCCAGCTGTCTGTTCCTAGAGCATGAAGCACAGGCTCATGCAAACAGGTTTGCATTGACTCAGGCACCTTCACAGAGCCATGCAAGGAAACTAACTTCTTCCCATGAACTCCATCAGGTGGTGGAAGGGCAATTCCACCCCACACTGAGAAAAGAAAGTCAAGTAAAGCTTTTTCAATTTCTTTAACCTTCATTCCCATACATGCCAATCTGTTCTACAGCCCAAGGCCCCACTCTGCTTTTTCTTACCAGCAAAGTGCTGCAAAGATGCTGAAGATGCTGGACTTGCTCGAATGTTTCTGGAAAAATATGCAAAACCTGATCCCTGTAAGTTCACCAGAGAAACAAGATCAGTTTTAATCTCTGTTACAGTATCTGGAAAAATATGCAAAACCTGATCCCTGGAAGTTCACCAGAGAAACAAGATCAGTTCTAATCTCTGTTACAGTATTCATGATTTCTGAAGTCAAAAGGAGGTCTTTTGTTCTGTAGAAGGAAGACAGAGCATGTAACTGATCACTGTTCCAACCAAAACGTAGCTGGGTGGTGAATTCTTGGAATGTTTTAGCTACAAATAGGACTAAGTGATGTGAGTTTTCTGTTACCAGAGCATTGGGTTAACTCTGCTTCCTTGCCAGTGGCAATTCTTTATTCCCCTTACCAGCTCCACTGATCCAGCTGTTCACGTGAGCCCTTGGTGTGTGTTTCTGCATTTGCAGGACCAGGGACAAAACAAGATCATTTGTAATATTGAACAAATTATAATAAACTTTTTCTCCTGTTCAGGAATTATTCAGTTTTTCCAGACAGAGTTGGTGCTTTGCTAATCAATGTCAGCACACAGAAGCATTAGAGAGCCATGATAAATGAGCAGTGCTAGGAGCTCAAAATGTTCACAGTTTACTTGTCATAAGAATAATCAATTTATTCCACAAATAGTGAATAGTGTGAGCTCCAGCACAGCACATTGTTAATCAGTTTCCATGAAACAAAAATTTCTAGTACAACATCTACCATTTTATATTTAATTTGATTGTACGTTTATATGTATTTTATGTACTTATATTTTTCATATTATTTTCTGAGAATATATTTTCATGAGGCCCCAAAAAATCTTCATTTACTATAGACAATCTGAAAAAAAATACAGCAAGTTTGCAAAGAACAAATTAAAATGGTTGGAAATACAGAAAAAACAAATCTGTATCCCTTTGTAATTATTTTTCCAATTCTTTTTCAGTGCTTGTTCAGATCAGCTTTCCAGGGCTGATAGCAAGGGTGACATTTCTAATGACAGGGTTTCATAATGAGGAGTGGATTTGGACAACTGCATTCCATGACTCAAAGGTGAGATCTCAGTTATCACTGAGATGGGATGGACCAGGGGACCTGAGAAATGTTCCTTTTTGATGGCAAACAGTAACTACTGCTTCACTGTCTCCTTCAGTGAGCTCAGTGGTCCTGGGGCCCTTTACAGGACAAGTACAAAAAAGGAACATTTTGTGATCTAAAGCTTTTGTAATAGAAATTCTTCTTGCAAAAGCCTTGCGTGGCTTTTTATTAAAGCCATGGTCATGATGATCATCAATATAATATGCTCTCATCATCTGAACTGCAACTGCTATCATTTGTGCTTCCATACACAAATGGACAATTAGCAGCTTAATATACATGCAAATAGAATTCACTGCTCATTCACATTATCCTCTGAAAAATAAGGGGATTTGGGGTGTTTTACATCTCTTGAAAACATCCCTTTCGCTGATAGAGAAACATAAAACTTGATAGTTAAAGTAGGCTGTTTACTGCTGGTTCAGGAGATGCTGTTAGCATGTAGGACCTTCATCTGTGGGGCCAAATGCTTACATTTGCATGGCTAACGATTTGGGACAGCAGCCCTGATGTCTTTGTAATAAACCTTGTAGATGCAGGATAAACATCTTTGGTAGGACAATAAACATCTCAGCTGCAGTTCAGAGTTTATTCTCTCTACATGCCTGGGCTTGCTTTGCTCTTTGTCTATCAGCAAGGGAAACAATATCCTCTAATATCTTTCTATCCTCATTGACATTATGGCTTAATTACATCAAATGAAAGAAACGCCAGACAGTCAGATTGCTGCCAGATGGCCAGCTCTTATTTACTGATAAACCTTTTACAATAGCCAGTGTGGAGACAAATAATTTTTAACAGTAAACTAAGAGTAGAAAGCACAGGCTCATTTATGATTATGGACTAGGATTTTCAGTGGAGAAGTGCAAAGTCAGCCCGTGTGACCATGTGATCCACCTCAACATGGATGTTCATAGGTGGGATATTTCATTGAAGTTGCTGGACAGAGCAAATGGCAATGGAAATGGGCTTTCCTGGTCATTTCATCTTCGTGTGAGTGTTGCCCACCCAAAGTCACACTGACATTCAATCAAATGTGTTTTTAAACCCCATGCAAGTACTCAACAGGTTCAGTCCTGTGCAGCAATCAGAAACAAAAATCAACACTACGTTGCCAAGGGCCTGTTGGATTCTGTCAGGTGAGATTGACAGGCTCTCTGTCCCTGATCAAACCTGAAGACTAAACATTATCCAAGGGACATGACACATTTTAAAGAGAGAAGTAGTGGCTCTGTGTGCTCCCCCAGGAGCTTTGCCAGGAGAGTTGTCAAACACGTATCCTACAAAGGAGCTTCCTTGCAGTAAGCATTGCTTGGGTTTCTCTCCTTTTAAAAAGGATATTCAGGGCATATAACTAGTAAAAAGGCACTTTTCTTGGAGTGAGGATTGTCTGGATCAGTTCTTTTAGCTTTTTCTTGGTCATTGTTACAGCTTTCCCACAGGAGTTCAGTATCTGAGCTGGTTTTGGGGCACCATCTTTTCCACATAACCTCAGCTGTCCTTTATTAATAGATATATTTTTGCTCTGTCATCCCCCCCCTCCTTCATATTCAGAAAAGGCATTTTATTCCTACAGCATCTGGTTTCAAAGTTCATTATGAAAGAGGTTAAGCCAAATGAATTTCAGCTAATGGAAGCAGAGCATCCTGAGGTACATTTTAGAGGCATTCTGTGTCTCCTATGACTGCAGCCATATCTTTGTTGGCTTGGATTTGGTTCACTCTTTCTTCATTTCCCATCTCTGTTTTCTTTCCAAATCTTACAAAGCTTACAGCTAAGTAACCCTATCTCCAGGTTTTTAGTTCATAACTCTTATTATTCTTACATAGCTCCTGAGAATTTTACTGCATGCACAGTTCTTCAGGATACCCCATTCACACTTACCTGTCATATTTCAATTTCAAGCTGAGATTTTCAGGAATTAGCATTCCCAGAGAAAAGATGATCCCAAGAAAAAGCTGCATCTTTGTATAAAGAACCCAGCCCTGACAGTGCAGGTCTAGAGAGGAGAATTGATCTAGACTGATCATATATAACCAGCCTTATCCTGGAAGGGACCCTGCCCTTGTTGAATCATTAACTTCACTTTTACATCATTTTACTTTTCCTTAATTCTCCAAACTCTCTTCTGCACCCCAAAACACAAATATACAAGAATGACAACATCCTTACTGAAGCACTTCTGAGAAGTAAGAAGATTTTTCTACATGTTGCCTTCAAGTCTTTGAAAATATTATGTTACAAAGTTGGTAGTTGTTGGAGAAAGTGTTACCTGCAAGGTTATAAAAGGTTATAGAAGTCCTAGGGGTGGGGAGAACAAGTGAACAGCAATAAAACAAGCTTCATCCTTGCTCTCATCCTTCCTGCATTTGTGTCTTTGTGGAGCACTTCTTTGACCTCTTAACTGCAATTCTGTCACTTGCCTAGCCAAAAAAAGGACATGAAAGAAACAGCCAATATTTCTGTAAAAGGAAAAGATAGGTACATCAAAGTCTCCTCTAAACCACTTTCAGTTGGACCAGATCAGTCTCTGGCCACAGACTATAAACATTACACTGTCATGAAGAGGGTTTTATTATGTACTCAAAACAGTGGGCTGGTTACTATCTGAAATACTTAATTTCTTGCTTAGTTCATATGTCAAGAGTAAACAGTAATTCATTCCTTAATAGACTACAGTTAGACATATAGCACAGTTCTTCAGAAAGAAATGATTTCAGGCAGCTGCTCTCTTGGATTAAAGCTATGCCATGGAGATTTAATGTAGAAAACTTTCTGGATTTTGGGTGAAGAGAATCCAGTAAGTCAGTTTATTTGTGTACACATTCAATGAACATTAACTTTGGTATTTATGGTATCTTTGTAAATCGTTCTCAGCCAAGTAGGAAGTCCTCTTACATTACTACCAGGACTGCCATGAAAGAAACAGGCAGCAGAACTGTCCCAGTGTGAAAGAGGAACAGCTTAACTCAAAAGTGTGTTCTCACAAAACCAGGCTGAGTGCAAAAGAAGAATATGTTCTTCTCCACAAACCACAACAGACCCTTCACATTTTAATGCCACACACTACAACCTGCTCAACAGCCTGGACCTGAAAATGGTGAATATTTCCCTCCATGTAGATATCCAACCCACAGTGACTTCCAGAAGAGCAGAAGGAAATCCAGTTTATAGGATCAGAGGAGGAATCTGTGAGGAATCAGAAAAACAAATTCATGTTGGAAGACCATATTCCATATTGGCAGTCAGGACACCTGCTCAGATAACCTTTGGTTTTGTTTCCTTTGTCTCCACCCTGCTATGAGGTGGACTTAGGTTTTGAAGTCTTCTGCTGTGTTGTCTGTGCCCTTTTTACCAGAGCTGACTTTGAACTGGGGTTTGATCCCTTGAGAAGGACTCAGAATCTAGGAACAAGAGAAATGGAGGCGTACAGGAAATACCAGAAAGTTTCATCTTATTATTTCCCTCTTGCAAAACAGATATACACAAATGTAGCAAATCATGATACACACTAAAATTCAGCTCCACCTCAAAGCTCACACCTCCACACTGAAAGCAGGAGCTATTTATTCTGTGGTGGAAGCATGACTCCTGTGATGCCAAATAATTATGAAGATAGATAGGGTCATTTTGCTTAATGGGCATAGGATTGGGAAGAGATGACAGTTGCCTGCTAGGCCTTTGATTCAAACTCTTTTGAAGTCTAGTTGATTTTAATGGGCTTTAGATTAAAGTCCTGTGCAAATAATCATGGACTTTTCTCACTGATTTAAAAAATGGGCTTGTTTTGGGACTTCAGCAGATTTGTTCATAAAGGACAACACTTAAGTATGTACTTAACGTTTGGCTTGCAAGCAGCACTGCTAAATTCAGAATAAAACCCATTAGAGACATTATTCTGCCACCAATACAAAAATATCTTGGGACAAACAGTCAACTTCAACAAGCCTATTGCTCTCTTGGGCATAAATGATGTCTCTATCAGTAACAGTCTGTTCTTTGGTCAGGTTCTTACTGGCAGCTGCTTATCTTTCTAGCAAATGTGCAAGGCAGCTTAATCCATTTATTCCCTCCTTGAAAACTGTGTGTAAAAAGGCCCAGGACATTCTGGGGAGAGGAAAGGTCGTAAACATATGGCATAAACATGCTGTATGAAACCATGCAGTGTCCTTTCTCCCAAACAAGTTTCCTTTGCAGTGCCTCCATACGTTCTTCTCAGAGCTTCAGAGCATTTTGTCAGCATCACTTTAGCCTCTCAACTGCCCTGTGAGACAAGCAAATATTATTTCCACTACTTAAAAGATTAAGAAAGAAGGGGGAAAAAAGTGACTCCCCAAGGTGACATAGGAACACTGCTGCAGAGCCAGGAATAGAATTCAGATCTCCTGACTCCCTGTCTGGTGCTTCCTTAAATATATGACCATCTGCTCTCCTGCTGGAAGTATAGATACTATATGCTGACTCCAACAAGCTGGCTGCTAAGCCTGTTAGTTTATCCTCTTTTTATCCCATACTGATATCATCTCAAGCTAAGCTTTTGGCCTGGAGTCAAAGTGATTTCCAGTGTTTGAATGATTCGACCTGCTTGTTATTGTTTTAACCTTGCACCACACATATGCTCAGCTATTTGTGACTTATCTGCATACAGTCTCTGTAGCAACAGCCACAAGCTAGAACTGTTTTGTTTAAAGATTCCATCCTGAAGCACACCACATGTTTTAGAGCTATCCTATAGTGGTGAGTTTCATCCTGGTAGCTCCCAGCACCCAGATGTCTTATGGAGCTGTGTGGAACTTTCAAGGACAAAGAGCTTATTAAAAAGACAAAAGACTTACACCCTTGTGTGTCTCCACAAACATCAGTCCATCATGTTAAGCTTTCCCAGCTCCAAACCCTGCACTGATTCCATATGAACTAAAAACCAAACTAGAACTATGTGGAATTCAACATGATCATAATTATTTTTAAATCATCACCTTGATTCTGAGAAAACCATCCTGCAGTAAATCTCCTCTCATTGCCCCAGAATACTCACAGTATGTGTCCAAGGCAGACTCATCACTCAGTAGGGTCAATACAGTAGCCTGCTGATTAATGTGCCTCAAACCCTAGTCTTCTGCTCCACTGAGGAAGGGGGATGGATAATTCAGGTATTTTACTAAAATATCTTCTGTTTGTCACTGTAGTTTTACTTGGAGGAAGCACACAATGAATTAGCACTTCTGCTTCCCATTGATTTGTCATAGGAGATAATTTATTCTATAGGTATTGTCTTTTTCTCTGGGTACCAAAATGTAATTCTGTCTTTCTGAGCAATGTTCAAAACACTCCAATGCATTCTACAATATTTATAAGGTCTTAATTCTGTAGCATATCAATACTCAGGAACATGTTGTGTGGTCTGCAATGTGAATCATTGTTCCTCTCGGTGTGCCAAGCCTTCAGCTTTCACAGCTTTGTTAGAGAGTGGTTTTTCTGAAATTCTCTGGACTCCACTGTGATTTGACAGTGCTAACTGCTCTCAAGCCTCATTAGCTCCAGCAACAACCCCAGCAGAAGTGGGAATATACTGGAAGCTATGCTGAGTTATAACAAATCTCTTCTAGAGTCATCTTGCTGAATCTTCCTCTCTTTCTCTTCCTCTGAGTTTACACTGAAAACACCCCATTACCCTCACATTTGGGATTTTAAAATATTCTTAAAACAGAAAGAATTCCAGCCAGTGTAGACTAAATTAGAATTACATTACTAGCAAACCTTAAAATTAGTTCCATTAAGCCAAGCTTAAGTGTCCTGCAAGATCATCAAGTGATAGAGGATACTGAAACTTTAGCTTAGTGGAACAAATTTGATGATTGGTACCTGATCTAGCAAGACATGGGCATTTACAGACACTTTCAAAGATTTCTCCATAGTTTTTACAGCATTTATATACATGCATGCTCACGTTTTGAGACAAAATGGAAATATCAGTGTGCTGTGCCAGTGTGGAAAATAACCCCTGCCCTTTCTCCACAAGTCCCCTGATGCAGTTTTTAGATAGTTTGCTATCAGAGAGGAGCTCCAAGGCTGGCAGAACAGCTTCCTCAGACACCATTTGCTTTAACCAGGAAAGGAGAATGTTGTTAGTAAATTGTCTTTCTTTGATAACAGGTGTCCTGCTGACTGTTTTTTCTTCATCCTTTAGGCAGAAAAATCTCACTGCTAAAGAACCTTGAGCTGATCCTTTCACATACAATCTGAATTCAAGATGATAGTTATTTACCACCTAAAAGGTAACAAAACTACTGGTTGAGTTCTAGGAGTTCAGGGTGAGCAGCTTTTTGAGAAGTTGTGCACAGAATCCTACAGTCCTCATATAAACACAATTCCTATGGGAAATTTTTCTGCATAAAGACTGTGCAATTTAACTTTAAACAAAAAATACTGCTAGTCTATTTCCTGTGCAATGGTAAA